GTCGGCGAGGCACGGCAACTTCACGAGGACGCGCGCAAGAACGACATTCATGCTTTCGCATTCACAACTCATAAGAAGTGCTTAGGTGTACCTCGAGCCTTTTCCACCATTAATTTTTTATTATGATATTATTATGAGCTCAAATCACAGTTTTATTATTCTTTTGATTACTTTGAGTTACTCTTGGCTCAACTGACACTGTAATAGTTTTTGTTTACTTTGAGGTAATATTCAACCAACTGATGTATTATGATTTACTATTAGCTCAAAGTAATGAAAAGAGTCACTGAAATGTGAATAAAGCCGAATTATAGTTTAGCGGGTCAAAAATAACAAAAGAATAATCATAATGTCAACTAGGCCTACCGAACCTCAGCTTACTACAGCTCTAAACAAACTTTCGAAGCTGAAAACTCGTTGTGACGAGAAAGAGGGCAGGTCCCGCCACAACAATCTTCTATTTTTTGGCGTCACTGGCACTGATAGGGAAACGTGGGCTCAGTCCGTGGGCTTGGCCAACTGGCCTATCTTCCAGAAACCTAAGCGCGAATGTAGACTCAAGTAAAACTGAAAGAGCGCACTACTTAGGAGCGTTCGATCCGCAGAAAAGAGAACATTCTTTCTTCGGCATTTAAGCAGGATTTTTCAATTTTTGTCCCACTCGCACGCCGTCATCTTGATTCTGCCAAGCCGTTTTCAGATAAACACGGCGATCTTGCTATTGACAATTCCTTCTGCTCCATCTTTACTAACGAGGACTTACTAAATCTTCCCGACTCGTGGCAACCCATTCACCCTCTTATGAATCCTATCTTAATTGACCGCACTGAGTACTTAAAGCGATTGATCAGCTGAAGGTGTCCTCCAGCTCCAAAGGTGATCAAATTAACTCTCAGGTATTAATAAGCATTGAACACACTTCTTCCACTTTCTTGTGCGACAGATTCTCTTAATCTCTCAGAAGTTCCATCCGATCGGAAAATTGCCAACGCCATACCTGTTCATAAAACAGGCGAGCGCCAACTAATCAGCAACTTTCGTCCCGTCTCTCTCACGAGCGTTTCATGTAGATTCTTAGAGCAGTTTTTTTATTCAAGCATAATAAACTTCCTCGACTCTCATAACCTCCTTTTCAAGCACCAGCACGGATTTTGCAAGTCGTACTCATGCATGAAACGCACTATGCTAACAGCATTTCTAACTGACGTTTACTCAAATTTCGATCCCAATGTTCAAACTGACGCCATCGTCATTGACTTCTCCAAAGCATTCGACAACGTCCCTCATCAACGTCTCTTGTTGAAACTAAGAGATATTATAATCTTCACCCGTCTGCAGTCAAATGGATTTCTGAATTCCTTAATAATCGCACTTAGTACACTTTTATTAACAATGTAAAATCTACCGCAAAATTTACCGGAACCGTTCTCGGCCCCCTTCTTTTTTTAATCTACATTAAGGATCTGTACCATGGCATCTTCTCTGCAGTATGTTTGTTCGCCGATGACTGTGTCATCTATGGACCGACTCATTCACGCCACGATCAACTTATCTTGCAGAACGACCTCCAACTCATAATTCACTATTCTGAAAAATGACAAATGGCTTTAAACTATAATAAATGTAAATCGCTATAGTTTTCCCGCAGTTCACATGTTCTATCCTACTCTTGCCACCTTTCTAGCATCCCAGTAACTGCTTGTTCATCGTATAAATACCTAGGAATTCATCTGACATCTGACCTGTCATGGACCACTCATATAACATCTGTCATCGCCGATGCTAACTGCACGCTCGGATTTCTTCGCCGCAACCTCAGACATGCTACATCCCCAGTAAAATAACTAGATTATACTACCTTGGCCAGAACTAAACTAGAATTCGCTTCTTCCATATGGTCACCGTGGCAGGCATGCCTAACTAACAACCCGGAATCCGTTTAAAGCAGAGCCCTCTGTTTTATTTATTCCGACTATTCCCCTGATGCAAGCATATCAGGATTTCGCCAATCAGCGCACCTTGACACACTTTCTCACCGCCGCAAGGTGTCTAGTCTTTCTCTTCATCAGGTATATTTTATTACAACAATCATCTCGGACAAAGTTTACTATCGCCTCCTTAACGCGTTTTCCCTCGTCTCGACCATTCTTGAAAACTCCGTCTGATTTCATCGTCAACCGTCACTCACCAAATGTCTGCTTTACCATTGGCCATTGACGACTGGAACGCACTGCCTGACATAATTGTTTTCACATCTGACACTAAGAAATTTGCTGCAGCCAGTACCTTATTTTTTTCTAACCTACACTTAGATTGCAGCGTGTTTATGTCGTTAAATATTTGTGTTGTTTGTTTTTTGAAGTATTCACTCCCTTGCATAATTCCCCTAGGTCTTCAAGAAAAATAAATGATAAATGATGATAAGTCAATTGGTTGTATATTAGTTTAAAGTAATCAAAAGAGTCATCAAAATATCATGTAGGCCGAACTAAAGTCCATTTGGTCAAAAGTAACTCGAAGTAATCAAAAGAATAATCATCATGTCTATTGAGCTCATAATAGGTCAGTTGGTCTCCTATTAGCTCAAAGTAATTAAAACGATCATCACCATGTCAATTAGGACGAATTAAAATCAACTGGGTCAATAGTAACTCAAAGAAATCAAAATAGCAACCATAATGACAACCTGATTTTTAATAAATCTATTAGTTGACTATTTCCTCAAAGTAATCAAAACGGTCATCACAATGTCAGTCAGGCCAAATTAAAGCCAACTGGGTCAAAAGTAACTCGAAGTAATCAAAAGAGTAGTTATAAACGGGATTGAGCTTGTAACAGCAAGAAAGTCACCAAAATGTCAATTAGGCCGAATTAAATTTAATTGGGTAAGTAGTAACTCAAAGTAAAAAAAGTAATCATCATGCCAACTGAGCTCATAATAAATACTTTGGCTGAATATTGCCTCAAAGTAATCAAGAGTCATCACAATGCCAATTAGGTCGTATTAAAATCTGGTCAAAAGTAACTCGAAGTACTCAGAAGAGTAATAATATTGTGAATTGATCTAATAATATATCAAATGTTTTCATAACAACTCGAAGTAATGACAGAGGCACCACAATGTCAATTAGCTGACATAAAGTCTATTGAGTTAATAGTAACTCGAAGTTATCAAACTACTAATCACATCAATTACGCTTATAACGAATCACTTGGTTGAATATTAGCTCCAAGTAATCAAGTCATCAAGATGTCAATTAGGGCGAATTAAAGTCCATTTCGTCAATAGTAACTCGAAATAGTCGAAAAAGTAATTATAATGTGACTCGTGGTCATAATAAATTGGTTAATTTATAATTTGCTCTAAGTAATGTCAAGAGTAATCATGATGCCAATTAGGCCGCATCAAACTCCTTTGGTCTGTACGGTAAGTCGAAGTAATCAAAAGAGTGATCAAAGTGGGTATACTGAGCTGAGAATAAATCGCTCGGGTGTATAAAAGCTCAAAGTAATGATGACAGTGAAGGTTATGCCAATTAGACCAATATAAAGTCAAAAAGGTCACTAGTTACTCGAAGTAATCAAGATGTCAATACTGCTAATATAAACTAAGTTGTGACTAATTGATCGGGAACTAATTAAGTTAATTGAGTGAATTTACAGTCAATTGAGCGACTAGTAACAGGGAGCAATCAAATGAGTAATCCAAATCTGAGCTGAACTTTTATGCAATCGTATTTGTCAATCATATTTCAAAGTAATCGCCTCAGTAATGAAAATTTTGCTTCTATACATTTATTTGTTTCAATGATACCTGTATAACCAAAAAGTAATCAGAAGGTCAAATGAGTTTCTACCGAGTTATATTTTTGTCAATAATCCCTCGAAGTGATCGAGGGAGTAATCCAAAATGTGTGTGGAACTTTTATCTTCTAATTCAAGTTATTAATAGATCGAGGTAATTAGAGTTGCAAGCCATACCTTCATTAAGCTTCATATAGTCAGAAGTGTCGATAATAGCAAGAAGTAATCAAAAGAGTAATCCCAAACTGCAATTACACTTTTATTTTCTGAGTTGTATCAATAATAAGTGGAGCTAATAATAAAGAGTAATCAAAACGTCAATTCAGCTATATTAAAATAGAGTGCACCACTAAGAACTCGAGGTTACCAAAAGAGTAGTCGACATGTCAATTAAGCTACGTCAATCATGCGACTAGTAACTCCAAGTAATCAAAATAGTGATGAAAATATCAGTTGTCCCAAACAAAATCTAATTGTATAAACAATTACTCTAGTTATCAAAAGTATAAGTGAAACGCGATCACTAAAGGCTTATAAGCACATGTACATATTGTGGATTCAATTCAGTGACTCCGGGATCAAATTGGGTAGCACTGGGATTAAATATAATGGCACTCAGATTAAATGTATCGTGGTTTGGATTAAAATAAGCGGGAAAACCTGTAAAAAAAACCACACACTTTTTTATATTATTGAAAGGTTACGGGCAGACACGCTTGCACGGCTTGAGAACGAGCGGGAATTTATATGTTTAGCTATTGCGTTTTCAATATCAACTTAGTTCGTCAGCTTGCCTGCGTTTCTTCATATTCAACTTTGTAATGAATCAGGGAGATTTTAGATAATTCCGAAAGAAAGACGTTGCGTTCTCTTCTGTAAAGTCTCGGGTCCTGAGGTTAAAATAAATAAACATAGAAAATCTCCATTCCCTTAATACACAAAGCTGACGTACTCGGCCACTGGCCAAGCAACACTTCCTTTGATTTCCTGTATATCTCAATGTTCTCACTCAGCCCTTAATACCTTATCGATGGGATTCGGTCATTTAAGCAACGGGATACGTGTATCTAAAAAGTGGAAAAGTGCAGGTGTATAAATGTAACGGGATTCGCGATTGAGAGTAAAAATCAGCATTCTCATTACCTTTCAGTGTGTCATCCTACGTCCCATCACACCAGGTTTCACGGCATCCCTACGGGCAGTCTTTTGGTGCGCTATATTCTTCGCATGCAAGTGCTTGGTAGATTGGGTGGGTCTTCACGTAGGCAGAGCACTTGCCTATGAGTTTGGTGTCCCTCACTCCGGACAGCGTGACCGCGTTCTCGTCCTTGATGCTCCACTCGAACTGCCAGTCTCTCAGCTGGCGCAGGTGCGTCTTGCACAACATGGCTGCCAAAGAAGTACCAAACGTACCTTCCGTCGTGAACCCAACATCGATTCTGTTTTGTTTCGTATTTCAGTGTTCGGTTTTGAATTGTCACTTTTGGTGACGTCCTCGCGTAACTTGAGATTATGGTCTCATGGTTGCATGTGGACAAGAAGAAGAGACAAGAGGAAGAATATAATTAAGGGAGGAACATAAAAGACGCGGACGGACAAGACGACGAGATGTTTCAAGAAACGTCTTGTCTGGTCTCGTCTTTTATGTTCTTTCCTTATTTATATTTTACACCTACCAGCACGCTCTTTATTCCAAGTAAAAAAAAGATGCATTGGGGAAGCTAGAAAAAAAAAAAAAAAATAAAGACTAGAGGGCCGGCTGGGAGTGCGTACGCGAGAGGTTCTTTTTGAGAGGAGACGGTCGACTTCGTCTCCGCTCTGAGGCGAGTACGCCGGCGGCTGGCCACAATCCAGTACCCGGCAAGCTACTGTCCCGGCCCAGAAGACTATACCGGACAAAGCCATCTCGCCTTCCCCGACGGCCAAGAGTCAGAGGGAGTCAGCAGGCGATCGCCAACTCCGCCATTTTGGCGACGCGAGTGTCTATCTATCCTGCTTTCTTTTATGTGAAAACCGTTCTCTTTTTGCAAATACATATCTCTTTATTTGTGCCATCTTTTGTCTTACCTCTTCTTGTTTTGTGCACCATCAGGTTTAACGTGGCACATAATATTTTTTTGCTCGCAAAACAGACTACGACGCAGCACAGGCGATGCAGGCGAGTTGTCTCAGGCGCGGCGTCGGAGACACTTGCTTATTACGCCACATGAGACCACATACACTCAGACGGTACTGCCCCGTGATTCATACTGCCCCGTGATACACCTGGAATGCCAAGCGCTGGACTTTCTTTAATTGGTTCAAACAACGAAAAGGGCAATCGGCATCACACTCCAACGGTCCTGCAGTCTCAACGCGTCTTCCATTTTCACCACGGATACTATACGGCGCCTGTAACGCGTCTTCGACTGGTGTGTTTAGCGTCAAGTACCGCCCATGCGGCAACAAATGACGTCACAGGGGCCAGCCCGTGTCATGTGGCCGATTCGCACACTCCTGGCGGTCGGTCGTAGAAATTCCGGCAAAAAGTACGCGCGAAAGCGAGGCAGCCAGAAAACTTCTGGCTGCCGGAGTTTCTGTAGACTGTCAAGCTGGTGAGTGACTTGCAGCAGAAAAGTCGTCTGCCGTATCAACCTCCGCTGCTTCGCTACCACCAGGATCGTGACAGGCAACAACATTACACTCTTTGAGGTCGTCGGGCGGAAATAGAGGGACTAGATTTGAGGACACGGTGGGCACTGCAATCGGAGGCGCGTTCCAGGCTCCATACAAAACCGAAAAAAAAAGACCAGTTATCTGTGTCCTAAAATGTGATGGTGCAGTCCACGAAGGAACTTCTGAGAGCCTCGGCATCGCCATGTCCCTGACGTCGGTGCAGTCTGTGCCAACATCACGAGAGGTACCACTCACAGCAATTGTTTCTTTCCGCTTCCAGCATCTGATCTCGAAGTGTGGGGATCCTGTCCTTGAACTTCTTCATGTCCTTGGCGTTCGGGTAGCGGGTCGTGTGTCTCATGAACAGCATCAGCAGGAGAGGTCTGCATCCTGACATCGAGGGGACCCGTCTAAATGACATGTACAGTGCGATTCTCTTATAACGATGTACCGCTTATAACGATCAGTTTCTAAAGTTTTTTATAAACTGGAAACGATCAGTTTCTAGTCCAGATGAAACAGTAATCAGTTAAAACGAATAAATTTTCGGGTTTTCTCATTATCGTAATAAGTGGATTGCGCTGTAATCAGCCAGTGTAAACAAAATCACGACGATCGGTGAGCTGATACGAAGGACAGTAAAATAAACTTGTTTGAAGTGCCGAAAGCTGCCGCTCGAGTCATTAAAAACCCATCTTGATCCCGACAGCGTGGACAGAGTTACGTCTAATTTACTTTTGCTTTTGCTTTAAAGGCGCCCTTGACGTCAAATCGGTGAGCCGTGTTGATTGTTTCTCTTTTCCGCCTTTGTTACGGCCTACTCGTATTCAGCTCAATAACCGTAGTAAAAAAAAGTCCGCATCCTCGCGGAACTTCAGCAATTTCACCCTTCTTGTGTCGAATTAAGATATATGTAACTGCATCTTAATTAGCTTTATCTTATTTCATCAAGACGTCCATGTTTCAAAAGCCAAAATCGTCGCTTCTTTCTTCGACAATCAAATATCGTAATAACTACTTTGCGCAGCGCACGAATAATGCGCAAAACGTCTTTTTTTTTATCTTTTCTTAATGTGACAACGAATGTAGTCCAGTCAATATTAAGCAGAAGTTATTTTGCACTTGTCGAGTAGTTCACAGATATGCGTATACTCATGCCTGGATGACTTGCTTTCTAAGTGCGAAAAATGCCGAGTCACTGTATACGCATACGCGACGTCTCCCATTCCGCAGAAGAGGGCTCAGAACGTGTCCCACAGGCCAGTAGACAAAGATGGCAGTGCACAAAAGGCAGGGGCGGATCCAAGGGGGGGGGGCCGATGGAGGTGGTTGTCCTCCGAGACCGCCGCCCCCCCCCCCCCCCCCCCCCCCCGCCCTCCCCCTTCTCGGACGGCAATTTGACATGGGTGGACACCCCGGTGCACACGAAAGAATGGGAGAATAGTACCCTTACAAATTTTCCGCCCCCCCCCCCCCCAAGGTTGCACCATCTATGAGCGACGACGGCAACCAGACAACCGGCAAGCCGGTTGTCTGGTTGCCGCAGTCGCTCATAGATGGCGCTAGCTGTCCAGAGTTTTGTGTCGTCATTTGTTTGCGGACGGACGCGATACTGGGGAAACTAGCCCTTAACAGCTCCACTGTCAAAAAATTAGCCGCACTCTGGTCGTAGAATTTATTTTAGTCAAAACCTTTCCTATAGGCAAAACCTTGGCTGATTTGCGAATGGTTTGTCACGTCATCCACGATCGCTCGACTATCTGGCAGACTCACTTCACGTGCATATATACTCTGGCCGTCGTCAACAGTCGTGGACGGGCGTCCGACTCCTCCTCCTCCACGGCGGACACTTGTGCGCCCTTCCTTGAAATCTTGTATTCGGGCTTCTACGCGACAAAACACCTCCTTCGTACTGTGCACAAAGTCTTCGATAAATATTTGTACCAGACACACCCTCAGGACACAAAAACAAAGGCTCCCCCCACTTGTTCAAGGTACAGAGGCAGACATTGTTTCTCGCACCTCAGTTACAAAGAACTCAAGCAATTGCTTTTAAGGTCGCTGGTTTGCCTCCAGATTGACTCAACAAACCGATAGGCACGGCTGTACCAGTCCCCCAAATGTTATGTAAAAATAAAACAAAAACAAACAAAAAAGTGAAGTTATAAAATTTTTCAATTTCGTTCTTATCGTGTTTCTTAAAGGGGCGGTGCAACAATTTTCTACATTCAATGAATACCTTTTAGAATCATTCCTTGACATTTATGACCTATAGGCTATAAAACACACGTTGCTTCTTCTCTTTTTCTCTACGGAATGCCAATTGCAGAAATATTTTGAGAAAAACGAACACCCTTTACTCCCCCAACTCGCAGCCAGAAAAAGCGGTCACGTGATCTGGAGCCGATTATATGTTGCCAATGTTTTTAACGTAGCCACGCCTTGGAGTTGGCAAAGCAGAGGGCGTGCGCTGTATTCGGCGCACTAGTTTAAGGTTCGGCTCTTCCCGTCATCCCAGCGATTGGGCCCGAGCCACTACCCGAATGCATGTCGAGGCATTGACGGTCACCAGTCAAAATTCCAATCCTCACTCAGTCTTCGCGTCCACTGCGTGAGCGGATATTAGATATCCTCACAGCGAGGATCGCAAAGCTTGATGAAGCACTCCTGGGGATCGCATTGTTGGCATTGTCCCCGCAGCTCCGTCATTAAATTTTGCTAAGGAGAGACAGAAAGAAAAGGTTGACTCTTATCCTTATAATTCCACAGCGACGAAGACGCTTCTTGATCAGTGGCGTTGCATTCGAGTATTCCTCGGTCTGACTAGTCCCAGTAAGCTGGTGTAAATAGAGAAACGTTCCTGCCCAATAGAGTTCCTGTATAAGCTCCATATACGGGAGCCTGAGTTGCGCGTTTGATTCCACGTGCAGCGTGCCGCCCTCGCCACTATTCGCCGAGATCCGATCACGTGAGGAGTCGTATCAAGTGTCGTGCAGCAAAGTAGACGTTGCGCGCACCCCGGCGTACGTTCCCCGGCTTTTGAGCGCGCCGCGCGCCTCGAACGCGCGGCGCTGCTATTCGCCGAATTCAGTCACGTGAGGAGGTGTATCCACATGCCATGCATGAACGCGCAACTCTGGCTCCCGTAGGGAACCTATACGCCTCGCAAGTAAGCTCATTTTCGTCTTCTGCGCATGAGGAAGGAAGTAGCGGTGACGTCAGAACGCAGAGCCCTGATTGGCTGATCGCGACCTTCTATCTGAGCGTCGTCTGCTCCTTTGCAACGTCGTCTGCTCGCAACGTCGTCTGCGTCTGTCTTACCTTTCCTGCGACTTTCGGAAGTCGAGCTCGCTCGACTTCGCCTTTCAGAGAGGGCAGACGAAATAACTCGAGCGGTACGTTGTTTTCGTTTAACAACTAGCAGACGCGCATCAAGGAAGGAAGTCAAAGGACTCACTGGCGAGGTGTCCCGAGGCGCCGAGGTTTGTTCGCTAAGAACCGACAGGTGAGCGCGTTAGTGTCCGCAAGTTCCCTCCCAAATACTTTTTCCCTCCTTTCGTGTGCGGCGAGACTCCTCACTCTTTAACGGCGTCGGCGGGTTGGCGCAGTTGACGTCGTCTGCTTTACGTCTGCTTGTCGAAGCGATGACTGCTTTACCTTTCGTGTGTCTGTTGGAGATTCACCGCTTTTTTACCGCCGAGAGTCACCGTTGCCTCGGGAAACAAGGAGATAACAAGAGGAAGAAATTGACCTCTTAATCTAAAATTGAGGGCGGCGAGCAAAGTTTAATACGGGAAGGGTTCACAAGGGTCGCGCGTACATATTCCATTCAGCACGCCAGCCGGTCGTGGGCAGACGGTCGCCGAGTCGCGGAGTGCCTGCTAGGCCTAACTGCCGATCTCGCTTGGTCGCGTTCGGTGGAATCGTAGCCGTTGGAGCTTTTCCCGGGTGTTTGTGGATCCAGCGTTCTTGTTCGTCGTGGTCTGTTCCAAGTACTTTTTACTTTTTCTTGCTACTTGAAGTCGGGACGCGTGAGAAGCTCACGTAGAAAAATAAACATCCGTGGGTCGTCGCGACCGCGACGCTGTCGGCCATGCTGATTTGAGCGTAAGAAGTGCGTAAGACAACTTCGGAGCTGTCGTAGGATTTTGTCGTAACCTGCGCAAAACTTACGAAAATTTCGTTTCGTGAATACTCACGCACATTTTTGGCGTAAGATCGTTTCGTGAATCTGGCCTCTGCACTTCCGAAAGTCGCAAAAAAGGTGAGACAGACGCAGACGACGTTGCGAGCAGACGACGTTGCAAAGGAGCAGACGACGCTCAGATAGAAGGTCGCGATCAGCCAATCAGGGCTCGGCGTTCTGACGTCACCGCTACCCCCTGCGCAAGAAGCAGACGAACTTGCCCTCCGCATAGACAATTGCAAGCATGGCGCCACAAGTGGTGCCCCATGCGTGCAAGCGCGTGCAACGCGCGGGTGAACGTAGCTTTGGCAAGCTCGTAATCGCACGGGCGTGCCTGCTCGAGCAGAGACATGGCGGTGTCCAGTCGCCCAGCTTGCAATCGTGTATAAGGAGTATTCACTGGGCGCCATATTTGTGGGTGCTGTCTAGAGCGCATGCTCAGAACGAGCCCACATTAATAGGCTGCTAAGACCGGCAATCTTGAGGGTGCGGAATGCACGTTACAAAAGAACTGTTGGAAGCTCGCCATCAGCACGCGCTCAGCAGTCGCGCACACAGCTATGGCCGCCAGCGAATACTTCCTATACAGGAACTCTACGACCCAATATCATTACACGGCCCCTTTAAAGGGGCCGTAAAACGATATTCGCTTTGAACGTTTTTCACTTAACACGATATTACTGCCACTAGTGGGACCCAAGTGTATACTCGCACGCAACACCGCTGATCAAGAAACTAATTTGTTGCAGTGTAATTTCAGGGACAAAAGACAACGTTTTCTTTCAATCTCTCCTTCGCAAAACTTGATGGCGTGAAAAAAAAAAAGACATTTACGAATCCCTGTAATGCGAAATTAGAGCGCAGCTCTTGAGGAGGAAGAGAGGAGAGTACGGAGGGGGTCCGTGTGCCCCTGCTCCTCCTCCATACCCTCCGCTCCTCCCAGAGTTTCCCCACTAAATTTAGCTGCAAAACTGACTCCACGTCACCTTATCGCTGTCTGTTTCCCGCTAAATTTAGCGGGGAAAATGACGTCACATGACTTGGTGTTACGTCGCCCATGAACAAATCCAGTTTCTCCGCTAGATTTAGCGGGAAAATTTACGTCACGTGACCTCAGCACCAATTCCATTCCCTGCAAACCTTTTGCGGCACGCACCTTTGGCGACATACATTCTGAACCACCGAGTTTTTTTTTTTCTCGGCAAGACCAG